AAATCCGGAGCCTCCTGAACGTGACTGTCCCGGGCGAAGTGGCCCTGGACCGGCCGAAGCCACAGCCTGAAGAGACCCAGGAAGAGGAAAGGAGGAGGTAAGCGGGGCCGCCGCCTCCTCCCGGCGGCGCGGAAGACACCCGGGTGGCCGCCTGGGCTGGCGACACTAGCAGCGCTCCCCCCCAGTGCCGCGCCGGAGCCTTCCGCTGCAGCAGCCTCAGTCCGGAGGAGGAAGGGAGCCAACCCACTTTCCCAGCGCTTCGGCTCTTCTCTCCAGCGTGAGTGACCCCGGGAAAGGGGGCGCGGAGCGGGAAAGTGGGCGGGCGCTGCTGCTCCCTCCTGGAGTTTTGCTGATGGTTCCCTTTGGTGTTGGGGGTGTGTGGGTGGAGGGTGTACCGGTATCCCTGGCTCCGGAGCGAGATGGTATCTGGGAGTCCTTGTAGGTCTTTGTACCGGGAATGCGCGAGTGCAGGTTTCTCAGTCCAGATGCTCGCACCTATCTGGCTGGTAGCTAAGGGAAATTGAGGAAGCCAGAGCAAAACGTGCACACAAAGGGCATCTCTGTAATACACCTTTTCCTGGTGCCCGGGGGATGATCAGTGCTGTCGTTTTTGTTTCTGGGGAACTTTCAGATGCATTCCCCAGTGAGAATCTCTTATTCTGTGAACCCTTTTAAGTAAAAGTCCCTTCTTTTATTTTATGCAGCTTTCATGAGAGATTTAAAAAAGAATACCTATTGGTACAGAAGTTTTTTGTCTTTTTTTTTTTTTTGCCTTCTTATTCCTGGGTCCAGTTCTTGTCTGTAAGGAGGACACTGTAACGGATATCAATTACTCAGGAAATTCTGAGTTCTTAGGAGTCACAGCTCATTTGGGGGAGCAGTGTTTGTTCCAAGTTGTTACTTTTTTCTACCTTTATGTGTATGTGTGGGTTTTTCTTTCTTTCTAAAGCTCTTTTTCTTTCTTTCTTTTTTTTTTTTTTTGAGTACATGTCTTAAATAAATGATAGCATTTTTATTTGGGAGAATGACTTGAGGCTTTGTTTGAGTTCTCTTTATCAATTTAGGGAGAAATTATTGATAATTCATTGAAGAATTACTTTCCCTTGCATTATTTTATTCATTTTTAACGTTTGTTTTTTTCTTGAATGCTTACTTGCATGCAAGTGAGAGAGAAAAAAAGAGAGAGAAACAGACAGCCAGCCAGCACTCCTAACAGGATCTTGACAACACTCTCTATCCCCATCCTCAGCTGCTGGGATCAGGGGCAGGAGTGTGCCCTGGTGTATTCAGGGAGGACTCGTCTCCTGATGTGAAGCCTGAGCCTTCTGGTGTGGGCCAGCCTGCTGATAACTGCTGTGCCACAGCCAGGCACCTTTTCCCTTTTGCAGTTGAAGTCTACAAAATCTTCGACAGGTAGAGGTTCCTAAAAGCAATCAGGATTTCATATATTTATTCAGACCTTAAAGGTTAAACTTAGAGTGTCGAATTTCGCGTGACAAGACCTAGGCACTACTACAGTGAGACTTATGGCCCATTGAGACAGCAATGTTGCCTCGGAAGCCACAGCTGAGAGATGCTTTTGGTGATGAATGTAAACCTGGGGTTATATATTCCAAGTTCTCCATTCATGGTATTGATGCTGTTTATTTAAAACTATCAAACTTATCAGCATTTTGATCTTATGGGTTTTATCTTTTAAAGTAATTAATTCTGTAACATTATTAGTCTCCATATAATGAAACAGTTTTCAACCTGTGTCCTTAAAGTTTCAGATCACATGAGAGTTTGTTTTGAAAAATGCTTGTATAGTCCTGAGTTCATCTGTTCCTGGTGTTATTCATTTTGATTATTTTTTAAGCATCATCTTTACAACTCTTTTTGTTAGTCTTAGAATAATTTCTTCTATTTCTCTGACCTCTTTGGCCTCCTCTGGAACTTGTCCAGCTGATGTGTTTTGTTTACATGCCTGTTCTTAGGCTTTTGTAAGGAACCTTAAACATACTGACGTAAAAATATTGAGCAGTAGATGTAATAATTCAGGCTTATTAACATTGGAAACAAATATTTCTGGGTCTACTGTCTAATTTTGTGACCTTGAGAAAGTTATGTATTAGAGGATGGTCAAGAGAAATCTGGTCTTAACTAGGCTATGTTTTTGGGGCAGAGGGAAGGACAGACTAACATACTGTAGTTTTTGTGTAGATTGTACTGGGTCAGAGATAGTTACTGACTTTAGGACCTACTTTTATTGTTTTGACAATACATTGGTTAAAAATTATGGCAAGATGGGACCAGCAGGTGCCATTGTGGTTAAAGTGCTGGACACTCCCACATGGCCAACTATTGTTCGAGTCCTGGACCTGGTGGCTTGTTTTCTCACTTTCCCTCTCTTTTTCTCTCTGTCTTTCTCTGGTCAAATTAAAGTAAATGAGTGAATAAATTAAATTAAAATTATTTAAAAAAATACTATGGCAATGTGGGACCCGCAGGTGGCATGGTAGTTAAGGCACTGGATACTCCCTCTTGGTCAACTGTGGTTCAAGTCCTGGATCTCATGACTTGCTTTCTCACTTTCCTTCTCTCTCTCTGTGTCTCTCTCTGGTCAAATTAAAATGAATGAATGAATAAATAAATAATTCTTTTAAAAAATTATGGCAGTGCTTCATTGCATATTTGGGTAGAAATCACAAGGTATTTGGGTCCCTGTCTTTGAGTACTTTTATTTATGGGTGGCAGAGACAGACACACACTACAAATTGTGTAGGAAAGGGAGCATTGACCAGTATATTTTCATACTGCTGTAGGTACTGTGTTTCTTATCTTATAGATGTGGATGTAGTTGCATCTTTTTCACTAGTGATATGTGGGTTTTGGAACTAATTGAAACATCAGAACCAAATATAGGAAGAAATGGGCAGGTGGAGACAAAATATTGATATTTAAGACTTTTGGAATTGGAACATATGTGGGGCAGATATGATTAGGGAGTAAGCTTGATGGGAATACAGAAGAAGGTTGTTGAGTAGGTTAGGGTCAATTTGTGTTTGTAGGTAACATGGTTACAGTCCAAAGAAGCAATGGAAAACAATGTTCCTAAGAAGGTAGCTTCAGGTGTTTGGATTGAAATTACATTTTAGTCCAAGGCATGCCTGGATTAAGATTTTATTTTTCTAGGGAACCAACTTTTTTTTTTGGGGGGGGGGGGGTTTTTGCTGTAGAGCGCATGCGCTTGCCAGAAAGACAGAGACAGAGAGACAGAAAGCGAAAAATCACCTCCCGGGGGGGATGCCCACTCTGCAGTCCCTTCTCCAACATTCTCTTTGGATCTTGAGCACGCATGCACACGCACCTGGCGTGAGTTTAAGCCACCAGGTCTGGGACTTGAACCTCAGTCGACTACATGGGAGTCCAGCGACATAGCCATTATGCTAACTGTTGACCCCTGGAAACCAACATTTTTTAATAAAGTAATTTTATTTCATTTTATTTTAATTAACTAATTTATAGTTAAAAATTTTTTATTTTTTATTTTTGGAGAGGTTTTTGCTATAGGGTGTATGTGCTCGCCAGACAGACAGAGAGACGGAGAGATAGAAAGCGAGAAATCACCCCCAGGGAGGATGGCCACGCCACAATCCCTTCTCCTCCATTCTCTTCTCAGGATCTTGGGCACGCACGCACACGCGCCTGGTGTGAGTTTAAGTGTCTGGGTCCAGGATGCAAACCACGGTCGACTACATGGGAGTCCAGCGACATAGCCATTATGCTAACTGCTGGTCCCTAGTTTTTAAACATTTTTTATAATTATTTTTATTTAATTTTATTCATCACCATCATCATTATTTTAATTTGAACAGAGAGCACATGAGAGGGAAAGTAGAAAGGAAGCCACCAGGTCCCAGACTTGAACTGTACTCATCCATGTCGGAGTCCAGTGCCTTAACTAATATGCCACCTGCTGGCCTCTAATTTATAGTTTTCTACAAGGTGTGTGCACTTGCATGAGAGAGGCAGAGGGGGAGAGAGAGGGAGTGAGAGAGAGAAAGTGAGAAATCACATCCCTAGTGGGGATGGCCATGGCAGTCCCTTCTCCATTTTACTCTTCGGATTTTGGGCACATATGCATACGTACCTGGCATGTTTTCTTTTTTTTTGGAGAGGTTTTCGCTATAGGGCGCGTGCGCTTGCCAGACAGACAGAGAGACAGAAAGCGAGAAATCACTCCCCAGGGGGGATGGCCATGCCGCAATCCCTTCTCCTCCATTCTCCTCTCGGGATCTTGGGCACACACGCACACACGCCCGGTGTGAGTTTTAAGCCACCGGGTCCGGGATGCGAACTGCGGTCGACTACGTGGGAGTCCAGCGACATAGCCATGACGCTAACTGCTGGTCCCACACCTGGCATGTTTTCAAGCTGCTGTGTCTGACACAGACGGTGCAAGCGACTATGTGGGATCCAGCTGCCTTAAATCACCAGACCACGGGCCAGCCTGAGGATGAACGTGATTGTTGAGGGGCTATGCAATAGGAGTCAAAAACAAGATGCTCCCCACATTTTAGTATGGTGTTAGTGATTTCTTACCAAAAGGAATTCAGAATTTGGACAGTACACTTTGTTTTAGACATTAAACACTTGAAAGTTGGGTAATGGTGCAATATAAAGAGAAGAAAATATCAATAACTGAATAAACGATATTCTGAAAACTGTTGGGAGTCATGTCCAGAATATTTAGGCTTCCAGGAGTATCAGCGGGGAGTGAAGAGCGTGGGGTGGATGGAGAGGTGCAGGTTAAGTAAGCAAAGATCGAGGAAGGGCATAGAATGGGTAAGTCTCTCATTAAAACAGGCGTTTTAAATGTGGGTAAGTGTTGAAGTGGAGGGACCAGACATCGACACAGTGATAAAACACCATGTTCCTTGAGCCGACTCACCGGAAAAGGTTCAGGGTTAGTTTCTGGAGCCATCCCTGAGAATGGTGGGTACACTGCTGCCCCTGGTCTGGGCCTGGCTGAAGCTGGGGAGGTGATACCCACAGGTACTACTGTGTCAAGACTCCGGCCCGGGGAGGCAGATGGTGGCCCAGCAGTGAAGCATGATACTGTTTGAAGATGACCTACATGGAAAGGTCCTGGGATTGTGTCCCTGTTGAGGCTGCTGCCTTTTTTCTCACTCATGGAAGAAATAAATAAACTTGGGAAAAAACCCCAAGATACTGGGATGCTCTGTCTCTTTTATTGATGGAAGAAATGGATTTTTTACAAATCTTAAAAAAAGA